CGCCCAACCCCTGCCGCGGCCCCAGGCCCCGCACTCCCGGCCCCGCCACCACTTATCCCCACCCCCGCCGGGTGTTGGCGCCGCCCCCAGCCCCGCACCCAGGGCTACCCCAGTCCCACCAGTGGTGGGTGTGGCCCCAGGGGTGGTCCAGGGTGGGTCACAAAACCCCATTTTTGGGGTAGCCCATGCGGTGCGGGCTGTCGCTGTGCACCCCTCCCTATTTTTTGAATTATTTTTTTTTTTTTTTTCGTTTTTTTCCCCTGACAACGCTGGTCTAAACAACCATTCCTCCTCTTTCTCTTACTTCGCACCTCCCCCCCCTCCGTTAATACGACCTGTCCCCTGCTCCGCTTCAGGCTTAGCCTCTCTAGCTACATCCAAAGTTGAAACCAGGATCAGAACAGGGTCACACCCATACCAGGACCAGAACAGGACCAGATTGACATCCAGCACCATACCCCATGTAAATTCCACACCTAACACGAGAGAAATCGACAAAGATAATAATCAGAAGTTTTCACTCAAAACAAGTTACCGCAGCAGCCAGGAGACCGTTCAACAAAACCATCACACCGTCAACCGAACGGTTAGTTCATAAATTACCATGCCCCATTTGAAAACCTCACAAGAGAGAAATCCATGCAGACGTTCACGGCTTTCACTCCAAACAAGTTGGTCAGTTTTACTTAAAATAGAGCTATCGTCTTCGCCCGATAGAACGCCCGGCCATTATCGCTGCAGCTGGACTAAAAGTTGGCCCAAATACCGCTATGATGAGCGGGGCGTTCTACTCAGGTGACAACGGTACTTAGTCAGGGACCACGCCGTTAGAACCTAGAAATATGGAGCCGGCCTCTGAGTCCATTAAACGCACAAATCCACACAGATGGTTAGCAGTCTTCGCTCAAACCAGATCTAGTTGGTCGGGAATCGCTCCTTTAGGACATGCAACAAAGCAATCACACCATCAACCAAATAATAGCTAGAGTTAGAGCATAATTGCAAGTGGACTCTTTGGACTGAATCTGGCCATAATTGTGATTGGATGCATTAAAGGAAGTCCTAGTGTGACTATACCTTTAGTTGGTCAGGAAAAAATCCTTTAGACTCTTCAGAGCATACAACAGAGCAATCACACCATGATAAGAAATTATTGCAACCAGATAAGTTGACATAAGTCCAAATAAGTTGAAATAACCAATAAATATCGAAGGACACGCTTAGATTTCAAACAAATGAATAAATGGTACAAAAATAATGAAACAGCGTGGAGTTTCAATGAATTCAATTGAATTGTAAAATTTCAAAATTTAATACAGAAAATAAATGGCCAGAAGAATTTCAATGAAAAAATGGAACTTGAAAGTTGAAATTAAGTTGGTATGAGAAAGATTCGTGTGAATCGGGCCAAAACTTGGTAGTAAGTTGGTACACGATATTTATTTGTATTAGTTTGAGAATATCCTCAAATATTAATTTACTCTGAAAACTTAGAAAATAAAATTATAATTCATGAATAAACAATTGCCTGTCATTTTTAGAAAATCGATCAATTGTTTGGCCAAATGCAGATTTTGACTTGATTGATGATATTTGTATCAATTTGAGAGCATCCTCAAGTATATTAACTTATTATTGAATTGATAAGAAAATTTAGAAAATAAACTTATGATTCATTTTTAGGAAATCGATAAACAGCCTCAGATTTCAAACCAGTGAATAAATGGCATTCACACGATTTCAATGATTCCAGTCTATTCAATTGTGAACTTATATACAGATATATCCATACGCATGCAAATAACTCCTCAGAAATTCAGGTAATAATAACTTAACTGTAATATAAAGTTAAAACATTACACATACAAATGATACAATAGAAATAGTTTAAAGAGCATCATTTATCATTACCAAATATATATGATTCTGTTTGTGACGATATATATATACAACCAAATTGAACCAATAGTATTATATACCCCAAAATGCAGAACTCAGTTTCACACTTGGCAGCACAACATTCATTCACACTGGCCTAAATATAAAGAATTTCTGAATTAGTACGACAGTACGACCTGCTATTAGAATTTCAATCATCTCAAAATAGATAACAGTGCCGATCAGTTTTTGAAACTGTGTTACCCAAACAAAACGCCCGATCTTCTTAACCAAGAGCAGCCATGTAGCTCCAATGCCACATAATTGATATTTGTCGTTATGTCAGTTCCACACATGGTACTCAATCCAAAAAATCCATAGCCACACATACTATACACACATCCATCTATGGTCTGTTCTTGCCTGCCTGTTACAATACTGTGCCAGGTTAGTAACTTAGTACTATACTGCCTGATGTCCGGTCAACGAAACATTGTAGTTTTCTTTTGGCATACAATCTGTTCGATAGTGCTTTTGGTTGCACCTTTTTTTTTTTTTTTTTTTTTACCTGTAGATGGGTGGAGTCGATTGCGATCCAATTGCGTTTTTTAAAAGGCCTTTCTCAGGCTTTCTGTGATTTCCTCCTTAAGACACGAGTGTTCCCAAACCCATTTTCTGCACCGCTGAAGGATCAAACCCAAAAGTTTTGCTGCCAGGATTTTCCTCTTTCCCGTCAAGGTTATTTCTTTCTATTTCTTTAACATTTTTTCCTAACAGATTGGCACTTAATCTACACTCTGATGTTTTCTTTTCAGAATCTACGCTCCTGATTTTTTCTTTTCAGAATTTTTCGTCCGACGACAGGATGAGCAGGAAAAGGTGCCAAATTGGCCACACTCAAAATTTGCACCCTGCAGTCAGACCCTCTCGAGGTCGGTTGGCCAACCCTTCCTTTGGCCAGCGTGAATACCACGGCACGCCTCGGTCCATTATGGCACAGCGGTGGTTCAAACCACCAGTACACGGTCCCAGCTAAGTTGAGTATACGATTGAGCCTCTCCTAAAATTAATTTCGGAGGCCCGGGACATGGCGTTCGAAGGGCCAGTAGAAAAAAACAACTGTCCCATGCCGTGGGGTAGCACTAGGCGTGGTTTAAACTTTTAAACAGTTCAGATGGTTTTCCTCAATCTGCACACGTCATCTTGCACAGTGGCTCTGCTAATCTTCTCTGCATTTTGAACAAGGCGCGTGGGTACTGGGGGCTTAAACTTTTAAACAGTTCGAATGGTTTTTCTCGATCTGCACATGTCATCTTGCACAGTAGCTCTGCTAATCTTCTCTGCTTCGTGGACAAGGCGCGCAAGGTGGTGGATTACTTGATTTGTGTTTGGAATCATTGTGAGCACTGCCCTCCAGCAGCCCATGACCGTGCGAACATCTTGACTTCCATTACTGGAGGTGATTTCATCCACCTCATCCTCCTCCTCTTCTATGCTGTCCACATACCACCCCTGGGTTATGGCCATTCAGGTGTGCTGAGTGATGCTATTCTTATGGTGGGAAGTGCTACGTTGTGCCACAAGGGGCAGAGGTGGAGTTATTCCTGGGATCAAGTTCCATGTGAACATTGTCAGAGAGCAGGTTTGTAGAGCAAAGAGCTTTCTTTTTTTCTTTTTTACCTTTTTTTTTAAAGAATAAATTTCAATACAATTAATAAATAGTATTTACTATTTACTATTTACAGAATTGAGTGCTGACGATTGGTATTAGCAGGGAGCAGGTTTAACACAGGTTGGGTTGGGTCAACAGTGAAACACCACCACTCCATTTCCTCATCAGCCTCTTGGCCTGGGGCCTGGGCTGATTTTTGTTGATGGACTAAAAAGCTGGGGCTGCCATATCACAAATGCTGTGGTAACAACACTGCGTGGGCGAATGGTACACTACTACACAAAGGTCACGAGTTCGAACTCTGTAGAGTTGGAAGTTCCTCTGGGCAATCTTCCAAATTCGTCGGCCAATTAGCAGGCTCGCCAACATTTAGACTGTAGAGTGATGACTCACTCAAAGACAGAGGAGCCTCAGAGAGTACAAGCGAAGCAATGTTTCAGCGCTCGCAAGAGTTTCATTGCATGCTTTTCTGAAGGTTTAGGTGAAGTACTAATAAACAGATCATCGGTTTGAACGCTGTTACCGGATAACCCCCTTTTTGGGGTGTTGCCATGATGGTTGACGTACCATTTAATGAAGAGTGGGTCGCCTATAACGGATACTGCGTTGAACTTTTGACCATTTAAACAATCTGTAACAGAGAGTGAGATTCATAAAAGATTGCATTGCACAGAACCATGGGGGTTAAAGCACCAGTACACAGCCCCAGCCAAGTTGAGAACCCGATTGAGCCTCTCCTAAAATTTTGGAGGCTCCCGGCCGCACTGTAGATAAAATAAATCGGTGGCGGACGGTCTCCGAAATGGGCCCACGGTGGATAGCTGGCATGTACTGGGGTTGAGAAATATTGGGCTTAACAAGACTGTAGTTCAGCAAAAATTGAGTTTAAACTTATAAGTTTAAACTTTAAACAGAAGATATGGTTCAAACTTCAAAAGGAGGTTGGATATAGCAAGAAAAGACTCAAAAGGAGGATAAGATAACTAAACTAAATTGCACTTAGTGGAGATTGCTCTTTATTTAAGAAGAAGAAAACGAAAAAGAAAAAGGTGAAGGGAAATTAATTACCTTCCGAAGTAAAGGGACTTGATGATGTATGCACTCAACAAGCCTACCTGAATGCGCGCGCAAAAAAAAAAAAAAAAAAAAAAAAAAGAATTCAGCCCATAGTTTCCACCCAAGGACGCACGAAGAGATTCAATCAGCAAAGCTCTAGAGAGTTTAAAGTTCACAGAAGGAACAAACACTACCACTTCCCACCTATTACTTGTAATCAAGCAGCACCGTTATCGTGAAAGATGCACGCTGATCGCAAACAATTCTCGCTCGTGCGCAAGGCAGGCATGGCAAAGCACACATGCATGGACAACATAAACTCACCCGAGCACCTTTTTTCCTTTCTACCAATCACACACACAACCCACCACGATGTGTAAACGGCGATGCACATGGACTGCATCCAACAACCAGGTTCCAAAAGAATCAAAAATGCAAATGCACATGCTCCCATGGACCACGCACAGAAATTTCGATTCCCATCTGTGGCCTTCCCGAACAGGACAACAGGACATTTATGAGAGGGAGAGAAAAGTATCAGGATATGAGCAGATGTCATTGCATGGCGATGGCGACAACCCACAGAACATGTGATTAACCAGAGACCCTTGGCTGAAAGAACAACAGATTGAAAGAAGAAAAGAACGGCAACAAACTTCAGCCAAAAGAACGGCGAGCATATCGACAAAGACTCGCCCAAGAGCCAACTGGCCTAGCTCAGTTGGTTCACCCTTGAACTGTTGCAGTACAGACCGGAGTTGGAACTCCACTAGAAGCAGATGAGTAAAATACTAGAATTCTGAGATCACCTAGGTCTGGTCAGTTCGATGATGACATTTCAAGGCCATCGCCCTTTTTAAGAAAGAAAGAAAGAAAGAAAGAAAGAAAGAAAGAAAGGAACTTTAAAAAAGATTCACCCAAGAATTCACATTGTGATTGTAACCTTACATTAACTACGGGCCTTGCGGGTTCGAATCCCTCTAGCCGAGCGGGTCGGCCTTGCCAAACACCTCCAGGCAATCAGTCTCACGGAGTCTCACCCGGCGACCGAGCGCCAAAAGATTCGTACGTGACGTATTTTGAATTTTTGAGACACCCTGACAATTATATACCTACAAATCCTATGTCTCTGGGCACGGGCTTCGTTCGGCGGAAAAGCGTCTGCGCTTCTCACATCGAACTGTGCCAGAACTTTGTGACTGATTTATTCACCCTGTTTACAACTTGCTTGCGGGTTTGAGTCCCTTTAGCCGAGCGGGTCAGCCTTGCTGAACACCTCCAGCCAATCAGTATCACCCGACAACCGAGCGCCACCAGATTCGTACGTAACTTATTGAGACATCCTGACAATTATATACCTACAAATCCTACGTCGCTACACTCGCGGCCTTCGTTCGGCAGAAAAGCGTCTGAGCTTCTCACATCGACCGTGGCACTGTGGCAGAACTTTGTGACTGATTTATTCACACTGTTTACAACTTATCAAAGAACAAACATGGAAATTTTTGAAAAAGAAATGAACCAAGAGCAGTCATAATGGAGGCAATAAGCTTACCAGAGCACCAAGCGCAGTGCTTGCGAAGAAAAGGTAGAAAAAATTCCACACAATTACAACCACAGAAAGCCCAGCAGAATCCGAAAAGCTGAATTTGGTGATTGCCCGGAAGACCACCACTGCAGTCGCATCATTCACAACTCCTTCGCCGAAGACCAAACTGTACAGTAATGGTGTTTCCTCTTGGCTCAACACCTGCACAAAGTAGCAAACAGAGCCAACCACCCGATAGATGGTGGGGGGACCGGTCAGTGGTTCCACAAGGTCAGAAAAAAGAGGGATAAAAACTGCCTAAGTGGGCCCAAATAACAACCCCGGGCCCCGGCAGGGACTGGAACCATTGAGGACTATGCTAACCGTTCGTACTGGTGGGACATGAGTTGTGATAAGGAATAGATCAGGTAACGAGTGGAAATCTCCCAAAAAAAAAAGGAGAAAAGGAAAGAAAAAGTCTACACTGTGTAGTAGTGGCAACGTCCATGAGAACTGAAGAGACTGAAGACTTTTGCTGTACAGCTCAAGTATTCAAGATCACGGGAAGGGATCAGGGTAAACGTTTAAGAGCGGAATTTGCATCAAGTGTGTCATAATTTTCCAGCCAAGTTGCAGCAGCTGAAGGTCCTGGGACGACCAGGTGGGAAGTCCTAACGGCTGGGTACATCAGCTTTCAAAAGGTGAGATAACCACTTGGGGGGACTGGGTCACTCACTGACATCGTGATGTGCCATTATGCTTCCCTGCATCAGTTGCTGCTGGTGCCAGTAGCAGGAGGCCTGACGAGAAGCCGGGAGAACTTCTGGCTATGCCAGAGCACATCATAGCCATGGTGGATGACGTACGGCCATGGACGGAGCTTCGTAGCCACGGTGCTGCAGTTCTTCATGTTAGAACTAAGGACTTCTGCTCATTTAAGAGCAAACCCCAAGGCAGGCTCAGCTGCTCAAGAGATCTGCAGACATCGAGCGGATTGCTTTGCGGAGGAGAAACTCACCCACGCAATGCTTTCACGATTTTCGATTTCTTTTATTGGCATTTCATCAAGAGAAGTTTTGATAAACTCCGAGCTAAAGTAGTCGTCATATACCTTTCTCGGTCTTTTGGCTAAGATCAAGTGTAGTATCTGTTCTGATCAGTTTAATATCTGATCCGTGGTCTATCGGGCCACATGATATTAAAAAGTAGTCATCACAAAAAAAAAAAAAAAAGGTAATGAAATAAAACGGAGGTGGATTTGGCATTTCTTTTGTTGTGAGCACCATCGCCTCAGTAAGGATAGGTGGCGGCAGTGGAGGTGGAGATGGTGGAGATGATGGTGGCAATGATGTGAAGGGAGGCAAAGGCCCAAAAAGGGAAGGAGATGGAAAGGGGGAAGAAAGACAGTCTGAAGGAGAAGAAAGGAGGGAAAAAATGAAAGTGAAGATGCCCTGGACTTATAACGGGAAGAAGGAGAACTTCTGCCAGTGGGAGGTGCACATGGGCACGCACCTTTCGGGACCGCGTCTTGATGGCAAGTTCATGCCTTGGTGGGGATGCTGCAAATATCTCCATCTCCTTAGTAAAAGAGGCGGGCTGCTCATCGATGCTAGAGTATACCGAACAGACCCTCATTGATTATTTTTTCAAGGCCTTAAAGAACCGATTTGAGGACAAAAACCTGGCCCGACGTGAAGAGCACTTAACCCTCAATATAGCCGATCGGAAATGGAAGACTGTGTCGGCATTGAAGGTTACTATGGACAAACTTTTGCAGTGTCCCGATCACAGTCTCACTCCCATGCAGAACCTGAACAACTTCGTACGAGCACTTCCCGAACCCCATAGATTATGTAAGGACCTGCAGAAAGGAGGCTGCTGAAAGAATAGAACGATATCTGGTAGTATAGAGGTCAAGGATAGCCTTCTAGTCGCATTTGAGGGAGAGGGAGTCATAGCACTACCCTATGAGAACATAGATTATGGACTAGAAGAGCAAAACGGTAGCAGAGTGGGCCAAGGACTCATGGAGGAGGCAGGAGCTCGACGAGAGGGCGTGACACCCAGGGGAGTAGTAGCGAAGGTAGCCATTTTGCAGGAGGTAGGGGTAACCGTAGGAGCTCGACAAGAGGACTCGGAAGCTGCAGCCCACGGGGGAAGGCGACGAGGAGGAAGAGGAGGTCGAGGAAGAGGTGGAGGCAGAGGACGTGGCACCCACAAGAGTAGTAGCGAAGGTAGCTAGAACGCGGGAGGTAGGGGTAACGGTTCCCCGCAAGGTGGACGCGGTTCTTCCTCCACAGGTGGAGGAGGTAGAGGGCGCAGACCATTGCCGACACATCCAGGGATTGTCAAAGGCGAGCCTTGGAAAGAAATGGGCATCGAACAACCGTTGTGCCAGAAAAAGCTTACCGCCAACCAGTGCTTGAAATGTGGTGACCCTAAACATGTTCTGTTTTTGCCCTAACTACCGCTACTCAAAAGGGAACAACCAGTAGGAGTCGCAGTTGCTCCTGCTGGGCCTTCAGACACAGACAGACAGATAGAAGCGCATGCTGAGCAGGCACCCTCCCGTCTGAAGGCCCCCATGACAGAGACTGATGTAGGCCCCCACCCAGTTAGCTATCCAGAGACCGCTTGTGCTAGGGTCTCTCTAGGTGGTTCTCTCGCAGGCATCAGTGATGAGCTCATCACTCGTCGCCAAGCTTGGGCTGAAATGAAGAAGATGAGCAAAGGGCAGCTAACAATAGCTGATGTAGAGATTAGTAGAGAGCAAGTAGGCGCGGTAGTTGATAGTGGATCAACGTGCAGCTACATTAGCCGAAGGGGACTGCAGAAGACGCACCTCGACATGAAGGTTTTGAAATTGGAAGAGCCGATTGTGAGCAGACTGGCAGACAACCGCGAAATGAGAGTAGAAGCATACGTCGAAGGGGTAAAGGCATACTTCTGGTTGGAGGGGGGGAACAAGTTAGAGAAAGTTGTGCACTCCCTGACCCTCTTAGTGGAGGACAGCCTACCTTTTGAATTAATTCTAGGGACGGATTGGGGAGAGGCCGCGAAGGCCGATGTGAAGATGGGCGAGCACGAGTGCTGGCTGCCCAGCCCCGAAGATGGCAAAACGAAAATGTGATTGTTCCATGAATCTGGAGTAGAGTCCAGTCTGCCCTTTGTTGCATCAATGCCCCCGCGTTCGCTAGGCACGTGGTCAAGGAAGACTTTTGACCGAGTCTTTCTCGCCTACGTTAGACCGGTGAGTGAATAGAGGAGAGGACACCACCCAAAGCAGAGAGCTTGCTGAGAGAATTTGCTGATGTGGGAGAGGCCCCGACAGGGGTAGTTGAGAGGGAAATAAAGCATCAGATCGATATAGAACCAAGTAGCAAGACTCCCAAGGGCCCCATCTGTCGTATGTCTCCCATGGAGTTAGATGAACTCCGCAACCAGCTAGACGAACTGCTCAAAAAGGGATGGATAAAGCCTAGCCCCTCACCGTACGGCGCACCAGTTTTGTTCATGTCGAAGAAGGAAGGCGAACTGCGTATGTGCATTGACTACAGGGGGCTCAACGCACTGACCATTAAAAATGTTGAGTCGTTGCCTAAAATAGACGACCTTGGGGATAGGGTGCAGGGATGCAAGTATTTTTCCAAGATCGATTTGAAATCGGGGTACCATCAGATAGAGGTGCAGCCCGAAGACCAGAAGAAGAGGCCTTTAGTACTCCCTATGGCCACTACCGAGTTCGTGGTCATGCCGTTTGGTTGTACGAACGTCCCTGCCACCTTTCAAAGGTGCATGAATGGTTAGACAAGTTCGTAGACGTTTATTTAGACGATATTACGATTTTTAGTAAGACTCTAGAGAAGCACCAACAGCATCTGCATTTGATCTTAGAGAAGCTGCGCACTGCGAAGTTCAAGCTGAACCCGAAAAAGTGTGAACAGGCGAAGAGTCAACTGTTGTACTTAGGCCATGTGTTAGATGGAGATGGTGTCCAACCGGAAGATGCAAAGATAATAGCAATCACGGATTGGCCAATACTGCACACGTTGACCGAACTGCGGTCATTTCTACGATTAGCCAATTACTATCGGAAGTTCCTACGGAACTTTACCACGGTAGCTGCACCATTGTGTAGACTACTGAGGAAGGAGAGTTTGCAATTGGGACAAAGACTGTACCTCAGCCTTCAAGAAATTGAAGAAGTCGCTAATTAAGTACCCGGTCTTAAAGATTGCAGACCCATTCATTGTCACTACTGACGCAAGCAAGTACGGGATTGGCGTTGTACTCCAACAAAATGATGGACAGGGTATAAGCCGGTAGACTTCATGTCGTGTAGATTACCTGCTGAGAAGGTCGCCGCCTCGATGTATGAGCAAGAGCTATTTGCTCTAAAAGAGGCCTTGAGTCATTGGCAACATTACCTCCTAGGAGAGCACTTTAAAGTTTATTCTGATCATGCGACCCTACGCTGGTTGAAAACCCATGCCCGAATGACACCTAAATTCGAGCGTCATTTCGGTTGGAGGAAGACTTATGCTAACCTCCTCCGGTCCTACACCTGGGTCCGCATCAAGCATGATTGCATCGCCTACATCCAAGGTTGCCAAGTATGCCAGCAGAACAAAAGTTCAGCGCCGGCCCCCCTTGGTCTTTTGAGACCACTGCCTGTCCCATCCGGTCCAGGTGACTCGGTGTCTATCGGCTTCAAGGACATGAAGGTTAAAAGCAGAAACAGGAAGAGTCAAGTAATGGTAGTTGTAGGTAGATTCAGTAAATTTGCTGTTTTTACCGACTGAGGCGAAGACGGAGTTAGTAATTGGAGAGTCCTTCAATCATTGGGTCAAGGATTATGGCCACCCGCTGACGGTAGTAAGTGACCGTGATAGTAGGTTCACCTGGCGAGCACTGGCAACAACTAACGAAAGTTTATGGATCAAAATTGACCATGTCATCTGGTAGACATCCTGAAACTAATGGCCAGACAGCAGATGAATAAGTTGCTCCAGCAAGTGCTTCGCACGTACATTAGCCCCGACCAGATCGATTGGGATAAGCATCTTCCCAATGTGCAGTCTGTGTATAACAATTCGGTGCATTTGTCTGCTGTACCCACTCATGAACTGCACAAGGGTTGGCAGCCCCGACGCCGAATTGACTGCCTGAATCCAGATCACATTCAGAACTTGCCGGCCGGTACAAGGGAATGTGCCATACAGTACGAGAAAGACTTGCAGCAGATGAAAAAGAACATCCTCAAGGCCCAGCATCACATGGTAGAACAAGCCAACAAGCACCGACGACCGTCGCAATTCGTTGTAGGTGACTTGGTCTGGGTAAAGTCAAAGGAGTTCGTTCTGGAAGAAGGGATCTAGCAGAAACTGTTACCTGCGTATATGGGACCATGGCAAATGTTAGATGTCAAGGGAGAGGCAGATGGTCTGTCCTACACTATCGAGATTCCGCCCCTCCTGCACACATACCCAGTGTTCCACTCGTCTAAGTCGCTTCCCTGCGTGACAAATGATCGGTTTCCCTCTCATCCCTCCATGATTCCACCAGATATGGACGGAGGTTATGATGTAGATAAAATAGTAGCCGAAGACGTCTACCGTACAGGTCGCAGAGGGAGACCACAGAGGCAGTACAAAGTTAGATTTGCCTATCAGGAACCCAGCGAGGATCACTGGTTCCCCAGGGAGGAACAAATACAGACAGCTCCTCACATTGTTTCCTTTTATGAGAGGGCCCGGAGGGGAGTGAATGTATATGACAGATCAAGCTGATATTTTTCTCAGAGAACCTCGAAATTAGGTCGGCAGGAGTGAAAGGATCCGCACTGTAACACCACGTGTCACAGTACCAGGGTCCCCAAACAGTCCCAGACGACCCAGGTCTCAGACTGTCCCAGTAGGAGGTCGTATGGTCCCCAGTTGATGAAGCGTCGTAGGTCTGTAGGCATCAGTACCGAAACATCCTAGGTCGGTAGGAGTCTACTTGGTACCCGACAAGAAACATCCAGTCGAGTCCAACAATCCCAAGTCCAATTTTGCAGCATGTCCCAGGAAACTCCGGAAGGTGCCGGACCGACAAAATGTTTGCAGCAGACGGGCCGCGGTCGACCACTACCGTTCTGAAGCAGGCCAAGCCAAGTGAAGTCCTATATTTAGCTGTTACACATGAGACCTGATGACGTAAGGGGCTCTCAGCTGGAGCAGAACTTTCGCTGAAACACAGCTTTGGCTGCAACACAGCTTTAGCTGGGACACAGCTTTGGCTGGAACATAGCTTTGGCTAGAACATAGCTTTGGCTGGAACATGGTCTGCGCTTGATGGAACAGAGTCTTCGCTAGATGGAACAGAGCTGTAGCTGGAACACAGCTTTGTCTGGAACACGGTCTTCACTGGAGAACGGTTTTGGCTAGAACACGGTTTTGGTTGGAACACAGCGAGAACACAGCGTAATGGCTTTACAAGGAAGGTAGTTCTGGACCCAAGGAAAGCTTCAGCTCACCATTGAACAGATGCCCAACAGATTAAGAAAAGATTGATGCCCTGCTGGTAACAAGGGCACGTTACTGGGAAGTTAGAAGGGAGGCATAGCATTAAAAAAAAAGAAAAAAAAAAAGAAAACGGAGGAGTGGGGGTCATGTCGGGGACCGCACACATGGTGAACGTGTGTTGTGGGTGTGCAGGTGTTGTGGGTGTGCAGGCGTAGCAGATAAAGTCATCCGCATCTGGACATTCCTAACCGGTGTACGATAGCATTACATACCTGGAGCACGCACACAGTGTCGGATGGAGAGAATATAATCCCCAGCGCTGTTCAACATGAATTGGCCAAAAAGCGCACAGAACGAACCCAAACACACAACCCCAGAAATCAGACACACAATGTCCATGTTAGGCAGGCTCTCATGAAAGCAATCAACAACCAATTGAATGAAATGTGTACAGCATCCATGTTTTTTATTCGCAAATTAGGCAAGATTTCTATTTTACTATGAAATCAACTCTGTTCGCTCCTTACTGTGTTCATGGACAGGAGCATAATATAACAGCAGCCTTGTTTTCTTCTTTCTCCTCCTCTTTCTCCTCCTTTTCCTGCAGCAATCAGCCGCTTTCAGTAAAGCGTGCAGTGAACTTGGCGGTTCGGGACAACGTCTTCTTCTTTTCGTCTCCTCTTGTTCCCTATGCAAGGAAAATGTGCAATAGTGAAATGACAGAATTCCAAATTTGCAAATCACGTTGAAAGTAAGATAGTCGTATGCTGTCCAGAAAGCAGAAATGCACTGATATCACACCGAAGGAGAACCAAAGCAGCGAACTCAATTGTCAATGAAAGCATTCTCTCGCCAATGTTGCCACCACCAACAATGTACTCGACGGTCTTCCTGTACGTGCTCTCACATCACCTCTCCCAGGACCATGTACGTGCTCTCACATCACCTCTCCCTTCGCCCTCTCTATGCTCACCCTCGTTTTCTCCAACAGCTTCTTCTCATCTCCCGAAGACCACCCCCATACCCCCTCGAGCTCATGCCCAGCTATGGAGGCTGAGCTCTGGTGCTGTTTCCAAGCAGCGCCCACTTCTTTGCGACCTTGCTCGCCGGGGCACCTAGTGCTAGCAGCCGCGAGCAATGCTCCAGCAGCACTGCCACCTCACACACAAGTGCCTAAATGCCCGACTCACGGCCAGGCAATTTGCTATATGCAAAATGGCCTGGACCGAAGGCAGTCTGCCTGGCTCCGCGTGTGCCCAGTAACGTCAGGTTGGGCCAAAGTGTCTGCGCCCAGGCTCATTCAGACAGCGGCCTGGGACCGAATTGGTTAGGTGTGCCCAACTACCCACACGCAAACGTGAGGTGTGCCTTGCTTCCACTGCATAGCCAGAAGAGCCTAGAAAGGCTCACAAATTGTTTCTGAATCTCACGAGCACGGCGGATGTAACCAACTGGCGCATGGCAACTGGCTGGCGGCCACCCAGGGCTCTGCAAAATTGAAGAATTCAGGCCTCATGGAAACTTGAGGCCCGCCTTCGCTTAGGGCGTGCACTTGCTTGCTGTGGGGGCCACATACAGGTATGCCGAGGGATTATATCCTCCACCTAAGCCGTTTGGCAGCACTGCTCTTGCTACTATTGCTTGTCCCTGCTCTACATCATAAGCCAGCACTGCCCCCCCCGCTCCCGCCCCCCCAAAAAAAGAGCCAGCACTGCCTATGACACCTTCCAGAGCCAAAAGCATGCTGCTGGAAAGCGCCATATTGAAAACTTTACAGAAGGCTGCACTTAGTCTAAAATGTGTGCAAGACTAGGCTTACCGTCTTCACCCGAATACAACGCCTGGTCATAATCGCATATTTAAGTTAATTTAACCAGATACGCCTATAATGACAAGGGTGTTCTATTTGGGTGAAGATGGTAGGTCCCACAGATTGCACCATTCTGTAAACATTGCTTCTTCTTGCTCACCACAAGAGTCAGCAGCTGAATACATGCCAATCGTTTCACACCTTGGCAACCATACATCTGTTCTCTTACAGGATCTTACTTCATTTCTTTTCCTCCCCTGTGTTTTTCGCTCATAAAATTATTTCTCTGATTAAAAGCTTTCAGGTGCACTCGCAGTTGAAGCCCACTGGCGTCTCGCAGTGGAAAACAAATCTCTAATGCACAGGTAGTGAGGGAAATAACACAGGTGTCAGGAGATGAAAAGTTGCAAACACTGAATCTTCTTCATGGAATGCTTACACGGACGGGTACGATCCCAATATGTCAATCTAATTCAAACATGGGGATACCAAGTTACCAACAGTACGAGTCAAACTACTCAAGCCTGCGCTGTGGTCGAATGGTACAGGCCTGGCCTGCAATTGTTGATAAGAAAGGAGGTCACGAGTTCAAGTACTGATTGCAACATCCAGGTAGTCTAAGAATTAATCACAAAAAAAACAGAAAGAATTAATTACGAAAAATAGAAAGTGCGAGGCTTATGCCTCTATGAGCCCCTTTTTGGCCCTGCCAAGAATCACGTCGGCCGCCCTAAGTGAAGGCAGGCACGACAAGGGCCTGAGGGCTCCTATTTCGGTCACCACGCAACTCAAGGGAATTCAGGCAGTTGCGCAGCGCCAGTTGGTTGAGAGAACCCAGGCCCTGGGCCGCCTGTGTGAATGTATGGAAAGCAGGCCCTGGGCTGGATACAGGTACTGCGCCAAACACAGGCCAAAGGCAGTTGGACCTCAGGCCCAAGGCCTGTTCTCATTCGTGCTGGGCCTCAGGCTACCGGGGCCTACTGGAAGCTTCCTGGGACTGAACGCAGGCAGGCCACTTCGATATAGCAAAGGGCCTGCCTCCACATTCGTCATTCCGGTGCTGGCTGCATGCTGCGCTATTTGCTGGCCAGCGCTCACGCGCTCACGGGCGAGCAGGAAGGAGCAGGCAGCCATGGCCGAGCTGCGCTGTTGTAAGCTGGGTGTGGCGCAGGGTGGTCCTTGGGTGCAAGTGGCATCTGTGTGTTGGGGAACGAGGTTGTGAGTGAGGCGAGAGACATACCTGGTGCTGGAAGCGTGCGACATTGGTCGCTGTATGCTCGAACTTCGGGAAAGCTGTCGATGTCATCATTCGGCACTGTAGTCTAGGCTAGATAGGATCTGCCATCTGTAGTCTGGGCGCCGACCGCCAGATAGGATATCAACATTGGTTCTTCATTGATGATGATGATGAGACTTTACCAGCATTGTCAATTATGAGCTCTTGGTGTCTTCTTATTTGGTGAAACTCGTGATGCAATTCTGCTGTTGGTTCGAGGTCACGACTATTGTTTGATTGCTGAAGTTCGCTATTGCTCATCTTCCTTGCAAAAGAAGTAATTACGAAAAACAGAAAGAATTAATTACGAAAAACAGAAAGAGAACTACCACTTACCAAGACAGTTCTTTATTTGAAGTTCTCAAAGCCCGGCAGTAAAAATCCAACTACTCGTGCCTGAGCTCAAACATGGTACAACACATGTAAATCCTGAGAAGGAGATCATGAGTTCAAACAGATCCGGGTCGCAACATCCGGATGGTCCAATAATCAACTAGAAAAAAGAAGAAAAGAAAAGGAAAGCAAAGAAAAGAAGAGAAGAAAAAAAAAGAAAAGAAAAGACCCGGAACTGCTACTTACCAAGGTAGTCCTTTATCCGAAGCTCTTCAAACCCAAACCGAGGAAAGATCAGCCAGCACCCTGCACAGCGACAACATAGAGGACTTACACTTGTCAGCAAAGCCTGGGCTCCCTCAAGTCCATGTCAAACGAAGTCCACACACAGAAAGGGAAGCAAGAACAGACAGCAAAGATCTGCAAAACTGTTGTCCCCTCTTTTTCTTCTTATCTTAATAGGTTTACACTTCTGGGCATGAAAAGAACACTTGGAAAGGCATTGGGCACTGGCCGCGCTGGTGCTGTGTTTGTTATAAGAAAGCACGACTCTAGCCCTTTTGACAACTAGGTTCGTATGTTTCAAGCACCAGCATAGCACCACTCTATGGAGAACTGTCCTGCTGTACAGCCTGAGAGGCCAAATCCCACTCAAAGCCCGAACCAGGNGTTTCAAGCACCAGCATAGCACCACTCTATGGAGAACTGTCCTGCTGTACAGCCTGAGAGGCCAAATCCCACTCAAAGCCCGAACCAGGACATTAGCATGGCCAGGTTCATCTGTGCGGCTCCACGTCTCTGTGGCCTTTAATGAGGCTGCCACTGGAAACATGTCCTGGGCACCCTAAATGAAGGCTGGCCTGGAATATTCGCACCGGCCCTACGTGAAGGCCAGTGAGGGGTCCTATGGGTTGTTCCCCAGGAAGCAACCTCCGTAACAAGCCAGTAGGACCGGCCTGCAAATTAGTTACAGTAGCTGGGACCTGGGCACTGTCCCAGTCGGCTGCAGGCACTGCCTGCTGGGTCTGGATGCGGCCTCGCCTCCAGCACAGAAGTCTCAAGGCTGCCGGGCAGAGCACATTCGTGCAGAAGGCTGCATGACAAGCATTGTTGCCCAATGAGCAGGAAAGCAGCGCCTGAAGAAGGAGAGAAGCTGTGGTGGTTGAAGTGAGCACCAGCCATCGCTGGATGCAGGGAAGCTGAGTGATACATGGACGGCGAGAAAGGTGGTTAGAGGTTAGCATGACTAGAGATAGTAGGATGTAAGTTAGGCCGGTCATATCGCAAGTAGGGCTATTATTTTGTTGTTGTCCTATTGATGACTGGAGGCGGAAGTTGGCCTTTCTTATCAAGAGACTTCAGTGCTCTCGTCTCCTAATCAGTGTGCATATTCCGCTTGAGTTTTCTGCTTTCAACTCATCTAAATCATGTTCGGTATTCCGTGAGATCTTCAAAATCTGGAGTATTGATGTTCTCATTGAGTGGTTCCTTGCACATCTTTCGCACTGTGAATACAGCACTACACTCTTCACCCGAATAGAACGCCGGTTATTATAGCTGTATCTGGACTGAAACGTGCACCAGATACGGCTATAATGACCGGGCGTTCTATTCGGGTGAAGACGGTAGTGGGGCTCGGCCCTGAGAGGCCAACAATAGGGTTACCAGTTCATGCTAGGATGTGAGCAGCGTAGTCAGAGCCGTGACCTTGCATACCGTAGCATTTTTCTGCGCAAATGCCAAAGTTTGACGATTGCTCATAGATAATGACCTAAATCCATATGCGGCACTTGGCAGACTGAACATTTTGCATAGAGCATTGGTCACAGGGATAGAGAGGACTGACTACTGTTGCCCACTTAAACCACCAGTACATCTGGAGAATTCGAGTGTGATAAGTAAAGCCTCAAGCATTGAGTTGTATTTGCATCTGTATATCTATAATGATATAATCAGAGTCAGCGCAACAGCTCTACGGGGCCCACGAGGATACCAGGGAGATGACTACAAGCAACACAGAAGCGCGGCTTTTGAGAGTATGGGGATTGTAGTTGATCGTGAAAACAGGGGTATCATAGTTGATCGTAAATCCTTCCTATTGAGGAAACAATCAATGCCACCGTCTCAAGGTCCCTTGGCCACAATGGAGGGAAGCATGGATTAACTCGTGTGAGGGATGCTGGGCCCCATTTTCAGCAACCAACAAAATTGCAACCACTTGCCTGGCCGGGCCACCAGGGCCAGTGCAGCCTGGACCAACATGATCTTATTACACTTCTATGTTTTTCTTTTTATTTCTGTTTTGAATTCGGTAAACAGTTTCAAAGGAACCGCAGGCAAAAGTTGTTTGGTTCATTATCCTGGATGACGTTGTTGCTGTTTTTGGGTTCTTTTTTTTTTTGTTTTGTTTTTTTTTGGCTGGGACGCTGTCCAGGACCTTGCCTGGATCTTGCCCGTTCAGGTCCACCCGGGCAGAGCCCAAGGTGGCCTCGGCGGCCCGGCTGGTAGCCTAGATTTGAAAAAAGAAAAAAGGAAACAACGAACAACTTACCCAGCGAGATGACAGCAAAGGCAATTATGGTCCCGACAACACCATAGAGTATGATAGGCACAAAGTTCCGAAAGAAGTGCTTTTTTTTCACCTGGAACCTGCCAAAACACAGTTGAAAGCAAAGCTGTAAGAGGCAAATCTCCACGACACACTGATCCCGAAAGGGAGGGAAACAAAAAACAAAAAAAACAAAAAAGAAAAAGGTCGTCACACTTAGTCAAGGTAGAGCAATCTGCTAGACAAACATACTGTCAATGTTGGCTAGGTTGTACCTCCTGACACAGTTATAGATATTCACACTCGGTGCTGGAGGGGAAGCAGCCTGGCCAAAGCGGTCCACAACTTGCACGGGAGTCAGGCGAAGGGGGTGCAAGAGTCTCGTCCAAAAGTCGAAGAGAAAGAAAAAGAGGAAAAAAATAGGAATATGCAAGCTCGAGCAGTGCAACGACCCCTCCCCTCCAGCCCCTCAACACGAGGGCCACAAAAACAAGGGGGAAAACCATGGGCAGAGGGACACACTTGAGCTGTTTGCCAGCCTTTTTCGGCTTTTCCATGTACATTCCCCTTCCCAGAGAGATGGGAACAGACACACACAATAATCGTGCGATCAAGTCCAAGAAAGATTCGACATCGACATTAATTTAGAAAGTAGCATGACCCAAGAGGACCGCAACAACGGACTCAAGAATCCTGCTTCTCCCTCCCCCCTTCGCCGGAGACATTGCACTACTTAACCAACTCCCGGAACATCTCCCGGAGTCACTTACCACTTCTGCACCCTAGCCCCTTCTTTCCAGGACCAGCCAACCCCTACAGTCCCTAGCCCCTGGCCCTGTGGCTCCTGAGTTGGCGCTCCAAGGTCATACTATCGATGCCCACCCCTTTCACACGATGTGTCTGGGAGAGGCCCCGAGAAAGAGACCTAACCCATGGAAGCCACAGGCAGGCGTTATACCCCCTCAACATTTGCCACCCCCCTCGTTTCCCGATGGTAGTGACTCCCGACAAGCCGGACAGGCTTGGAAAGGTGGCCGGGCAGGACCACCCTCCCAAAACAATCACACTGTTCTGTCAGCCCGTACATCAAGGTAGAACTGTTGGACTCTGCAACAACCACAGACACCCTCTCATCCAGGTTCGGAACATAGTAGGCAACCAAAGTGCGTGGTTTATAAATTTTGACTCCTCGCCATCATACTTTAAACTGGGAGGAGGGTGGAGGCAGTCAGCTTGCAAAGTCACTTGCCAATCCTGCAAAGAGAGCTTCTTACTGGTCACTTGTCAGTGTTGTCACACTTCTGTTACCCCCCTCTACAGGTATGTTACTATGTTCCCACAGCTTCACATTCATATGGCCAGCTCTGTTACCAGTCCCATAGTTCCATACCTCTCACTCCCATGCCAGGACAAATCCAAAACCAGGTCCTCAAGAACGTATCTGAGGGGTGCCCCCTCTCTCGGAACCGACTGGACTTACATGTTCTTTTTTTAATAATTAATTAATTGATTAATTGATTTTACCACTCCTCAATTCATGTGTGTCATCCTTGCGCAGACGCCATGCTAGTCTTCTTTCTCTGTATTTTTCCAATGATAAGGGGTGCATCAGTCTCAGAACTGACAGGAGATCCATGTTTCCATGTTTTTCCTAAGTGCAACCTAGCACAACCGGGCAGAAAAAGGGCGGTACGTGAAGATATCGGGAAACCGACTGAAGCGAGAGAAAGGGCATGGCATGAAACACACTTCATTGAGAAAAAGTAGCACAATGACAAAGGGCAGGATGTAAAACATTTTGGGAAATCAAGACAAAGGGAAGGATGTAAAGTTGTGAACACGTTGGGAAAGCTTACTGAAAGTGAAAGAAAAGAAATCCTGCGAGCATCTGCCCATTGACAAAAACAAATGAAAGCATGGAGGTCAATGCAAGAAGTTTTGGATGATTGAACTTACCCTGCATTGAAAATGATTGGTGGCAGCATATATATAAAGAACAATTCCTCATTAAATCGAAAGAGGTGAGAACTCCTGCTCTCCCCTTTTCTAATGAAGAGGATCACTGACCCTGTGAGCAAACCCTGGCATCAACACACAAAAGACCACCATCAACCTCAACATTTGATCAAACCAGGCCTCAATTCCGTGGTATCTGGGGGATGCAACCAACAGGAGTGCTCTCTAACACCAGCAAAAATAAAAAAAGTTCATACTTCGTACTTGATTCTCCAAGCAATTTGACAAAAAGAGAAACCGCTCTTTCTGCCTTTTTCCTGTCTGTAATGACCCGCCAAAACACAGACTGAGAACACTGCTGATTTCTGAGTTTTTGCTGCTGGAATGAATGCCTTGCTTAGATTCCTGCGTTCTGCTGAGTTTTCTAAGTCTGTGTGTGTGTGCGTGCGTGCTGGTTCGCGTGCCTGCCTGAGTGCTTGTCGGTCCGAGTGTGTGCATGGCCCGCCAGGGCACTTGTTTGTTTGCAAGGCCCACAGGGCCCGGTACTTACCTGTGGCCGTGACTTTAAGGGTTGCAGCGGGGAAACACTCAAGTAGTGGGGAGCAGGCCCGCAACACTTAGGGCAGCGGGGGAAAACACTCTAGTACCAGATAAGCCGGTACCACTCAAGTAGCGGTAGATGCGCCGGGAACCAGAGGCCAAACAGAAGAAGACAAAAAGTTAGCATTTTTGGAGGCCCAGTAGCAGTAGGCCTAGAGGGAGGCGGGTACCAGTCCACGTAGCCTGAGTCTAGGGCCTCTGCGGACAATATCAGAGCCTGCAATGATGTTTCCCTCCGAAAGGGAGGAGGTACCGGTTTCTTGGAAGTGTCCACCCAAGAGGCAGGTAGGCCGCTTTATCTCCAGGAGGAGCGAAGTGCTCCTCATTTGTGGTATCCACGTTTGGGCGTCATGCTGCTTGATCGGGTGCTAGTCTTCAGAGCGCCGGAGGAGCGCTGGGAGGAGCAGCACTAGGAGGAAGAAGGCCGGGAACTCTCACCTTGGCTATGGTCGAGCTTCACCGGTAGGAGGGGGAGGAAGAAGGGGACTAGGGATGTCGCATACCGAAATGGTACAGGCCAGAACCAAGAACCGACCTCTCACAGATAGAGCAGGATAGCACAGCGGAAGACTGGAATACAAATGATCAGACCCGATCAATGTCGAAATGCAGACTGACATACATCATCATCATCACACGGTGTGGCACCGCACACCAGGACGAAGGTGCCAGGCCTAACTCATACACAGATGAGGAGGAGGGGGAAGAGAAATGCCGCCAACCCAAATGTCGCTGATATCAATCCCCAAGTAGTCCCCCAACGTCTCTGCCCAATGTCGAGTCTAAATCCCGAGTGTCGTCAATCTCTCTCTCTCTCTCTCTCTCTCTCTCTCTCTCTCTCTCTCTCTCTCTCTCTCTCTCTCTCTCTCTATGCCAGGTACTGACCTGCGAAAGGTGGTGCCTTGATGCAGGTGCGGGCGTGCTGAAGAAGAAGCTGGAGCAATGGCCACGCAGGTAAGTCTCAGGTAAGTCCTCTGGCCACCATCACCATCTCTCCCTCCCTGCGCTACTCTACTCTATCAGCGCCCAGCGCTGGAAGACTAGCCCTATCGTCGACTACTACTGAACTGCTGTCATCCGAAGCATGCCCTCCGCAGTGCTCTACTCAATCCCCGGACTGAGGCCTGACCCAGCTATATATAGCACTGGGTCGGCCTCAGTGGCTGAGTCCTGGCGCCCAAGCTGAGGCTGGACCTCGAAAAGTTTGGCATCCAAACTGAGGCTGGGCCTCCAGCGCCAACCTGAAACGGCGTGGCCTAAAAGTCAGGGTCTGACGCCAAAACGAGAGACGGTTAACGGGGGCCAAATATTCGTCGTTTTCGTTGGCAATTGCGGTGCGAATTTCATCAAAAAAATTAAAAATAAACAATATGAGACCATAGTGCAAACATCAAAAAAGGAAATAGGCCAAAAAGAACGAAAAAAAAAACAAAAAAACACTATGAAACCCTAACACAAAGACACTGTCCGAGTCAAAATGAAGCGTCCAACGAATCCAACACCCCTGGTTAACCGCATGTGACCTGACTATGGTGGACACCATCTTCATCACCTTCTTAGGCGCTGCATCTGGAAGGCCCCAGTTGGGTAGCACCACACCAAGAAGACTTCAAGGCGGAGTAAGGCATGGCGGCCTAAGAAGCAGCGGCCATAGTTGCTTTGTGTTCTCTTTTGCGCGTCATAGCCTCGGACTGGTTCGAGAGAATGAAGAGGGAGGCTATGGCTATGGTGGACATCTGGTTATGCCAAGCCGTAGATGAGGGATTCGGGCTTTGATTCTGGTTCAGACATTCATCACTATTATATATATTCATTGTTGAATAAGAGAGGGGACGATAAGGACAAGAAGTTGGTTGGCGAGAGAAAGGGGAATTGTTATTGGTTTTTTGCTGGTGTACATCTTCTTGTTCTTCTTTCTTTCTTCTTTTTCTTCTTCTTTCATCTCTCCCTCCTCTCAAATTCATTCATTTCCTATGGTGGACATCTGGTTATGCCAAGCCGTAGATGAGGGATTCGGGCTTTGATTCTGGTTCAGACATTCATCACTATTATATATATTCATTGTTGAATAAGAGAGGGGACGATAAGGACGAGAAGTTGGTTGGCGAGAGAAGGGGGAATTGTTATTGGTTTTTTGCTGGTGTACATCTTCTTGTTCTTCTTTCTTTCTTCTTTTTCTTCTCCTTTCATCTCTCCCTCCTCTCAAATTCATTCATTTCCTCGGTAAATGGACAGCATTGTACTTTCTTGTAAATTTTGCACTTCAAAATTGGCCAGGATCGTAACCTGTCCAGTTAATTGTTTGTTCTATCAAGAATCAGTGCCTTATGGACCTGCCTCCCTTCTATTCAGGGGGGAGCAGCAGTCCGGCTCCTTTTCAATCGGCAAGTCAAGATGATACATTACAAAATCAACCCATGTTTCCTTCCACTCCAGTCGAAGGAGCCCCCGGACGGTATTGATTGCTCCTGAGGACAAGGTTGACTGTCCGGAAGCCTTTTCCTGCTTAAATTCCTCTCAGCCTACGCATAGATAGGCTGTCAGCTGTGCAGTAAGTACTAAAATTGCTTGTCGTGGTGCCGGATCTTCCACCCTGACAGAATGCCTCTTCCCCTTCCCTCTTTTTGCTCGTATTCAGCCTACTGGATGAGTTGGCTACTTGCAGTCAAGAAGTAAAGGGGAAGTGTTGTCTGAAGTCCAGATAAGATCTTGCCTTTCTGGCTTCTTGGTTGTCCTGGCGCCTGATCGCCATCTCCAAATTGGGCCAATCCAACCATTGAGTCAGAGCTCATCAAGGGTTCCCATCTCGCCGTTGGCCAGCCACACCTGCTTAAATTCAGCCCTGGGCTCTTGTTCTGCCTCTGGGTTTCTCTGGATTAGGTTCTTCACCCTCCGCAATCTGCAGGCAGAAGGGTGACGCTCGAGCATTCTGTTAAATGCTGCAGTTGCTTTTTCGCACATTGTGTCTTCAACGAGAGTAAAGCCTCACATAATGTGCTACTTCTTCCCAACATGAAGCATGTAATCTTTTCTTTAATAATGTCTTCGGTTGCAGCTCGCTCTTTCATTGGTTCTGTTGGCTTCTTTTCGCGATTCCTCTTCTATTTCGTCTTTCGGCTCTCTGCCTATCACGTATATATTGCCACATATCTATCAACTAACGGAGTGCACGTATATATATCATCAAACAGAGCTGCCCGGTAAATCGTAGGCAGAGAGGGAGAAGAGGACAAGAAACGAGGGGCTGTGACAAACTGTTTCGYCGGAGTTTCACCGACTCATCTATAGCAGATGCAGGCCCGGGTTGATGCCAGTGCACTCATGAGATTATTGTTCACAAAGTTCACTTCGCTCGCAGGTTTGTAGAGAAAGATAAGGCAGGATCACAAAAGAACATTAGGTCCACTCCTTGGACCAGACAAAGAGCCAAAATCAAATGGCAACGGCAGAAAATTTGAAAATTTCCATGAAATCTACCCTGCTGTTATCCTGTGACACTAAAAACCTCCAAGATTGCAGCCTTAGGATCATGATACCTTGCTGATTTCCAATTACAGTGCCTAGCACTGCCTACGGATACCTCCCTTCCCCACAGAGGAAGAAGCCAGATGGGGGGGGGGGGAGAGGAGGAAGAGGAGGGAGGGAATAGAGGGGCTGTATGTGTGGGCTTTGTGGTAAACAAAAGTGTGTGTGAACTCAATACTTGCACAGGGTATAATAGACTTTCCATGACACAGTGAACCTTGCTGAAGCAGCAGAGACAGCAGTTACATATGCGATTCGTTACCCTCCAGGACCTTGGCATAATGGACTAATGAACCGTTGGGCTCAGGTGGGATTCTAACCCAAAACCTGTCCTTAGTGTGAAGCAAGCATCGGTTCTTAAATTTGTTGTTTTTCAAGTTTGTTGCCAGCAAGATTTGGGATCTACAAGTAGAGATACTGTTAGTTGTCCCTGGACACATAGGACCTAGACATTAAAAACTATCTATATAGAACCCGGTGGCAGCCTGTACGACCAGGCAACTGCAATGGTATATAGTAGCGCGGTAAAGACAGACTTCAGTTAGGTTTTCAATTCGAGTAATTGTGGAATGACCTGATGAAGGAGCAGCGCTATTTTTGGCAGCTGAAAGACACAGTCGGCGTGTAGCCATAGCCAGCGCGTTCTGCCCCCATACCACACTGTGTTCCGTGCCGTTCTGTGCCCACTTTTGCAGGCTTCTTAGTGCAACCAGGCGCCCAAGTGGACAACTTTTTCTTGTTATGCTGCTGGGACTCTCAATACAAGTTGCAGCCGCCCAGTGGACGTAACTTTCTCTTGTTTATGCCGGTGTGATTCGCGATTCAAGTTCCGTGTGAAGCTTCTCGCCAACTGCGTTTCTTCTCAATTTTGTCTTCAATTCAGTTTCTATGAGTGATGCACGCTGGGAGTAATCGAAGCTCGAGAAAACCCCAAAATGAAGCTCTCCTAGTGGTAAACGTGCCCTATATTTTTAGAACTTACTCAATTTCTCCGTTTCTGCCTGGTCCTTGAACAAGGGCCATGCCAATCTTCTCTGTATCGGTCCTTTTTTTTCTTTCTTCCTTTTTAAAAAAGGCGACGACCTTAAGGTATCATCATTGAGCTGACCGGGCCAGGTAATTCAGAATTATTTTGTTCTGTCCATTTGATTGCACCTGGATTCGAACTTGGGTCTGCATTTCAACAGTTGATAGGTGTACCAACTGAGCTAGGGCCGTTGGTATTCTCTGTATCCTTCCAATTGCAACAGATGTGCCAGCATACTGTTTCAGGGCGGTTTTTCTTTTCTGTGAAAATCTACAAAACCATGGCCGGCTTCAACGCACTTGACGATTTTTTTGTGTTCTCCTTGTGCAGGGGACATGCTGATATTCTCCATATCATGTCCTCAACCCGTCAAGAGAGAGAGATAGAGGCCAAGCAAATTGACTTTTTTTCCATTTTCTTTTGCAGAGCGAATCAATAGACCGCGAGAGAAAGAGG